TTTACAAGACTGAAATAAAATAATAGAACAACAACCCTCTCATTTTATAAATACAAGGTATCTCGAACCCCTTTTACCATCAACTCAATCAAATTTAAAAACACCATCAAAACCAATCAAAATATCTATTCCGAAATATTTGGCTTTACGGTTAACAAAAAAAAACCCGCGCTTCTTAAGCGCGGGTCAAAATCTAGTTAACTAATTTATTTTTAAAATAGTGTGTAACCAACACGTAAGAAAACCTATAGACTATAGTATATGATCGCTTTCTAATTTTTTTATAAGAAAACATAAGAATCATTCATGGCATCCCATTAATTCACATAGGCTAATATGACCTCTTCATTTACTTTTCTCCCAAGAAAACTCCAACAAAAAGAAAATATCGCCGTAGAAGAGATATTTTTATATTTGTGGCCACTTTTTGGATATAAATCAGATTCTTTAGGTCGTTAATATTAGGCCTCTTTAGGTATAGTAGAAATATTGAATATGATACTACAAAACAAAGATGGCTGTAATTAAGATCAGATTACAAAACAAAGATGATTGTAACATCGGATTACAAAACAAGCCATTTCTTTGAATCTTTTGTCTCCTGCGATCTATGCTTTCTTATTACACACTACATGATTACATTTACAAGGTAACTTGACCAACAAGCAACAACAACACCGCAACATTTGCTACAAATCTGCATATCTGTCAAGAAAAAAGGAAACACATTAACAGTAAAACCAAGTAACAAAAGAAGAAAAAAAAAAGAAGATAAATTAATTCTTCAGGATATATTTTTACCTGATGATTTTACTTCTTCGAGCTAATTGCATAGAGGACTTTTTTACCGTAAGGATTGGTACGAAGAGAAGAGATGTGAAGCTTAATAGCATCAACCAAAAGACCATAAGCATTAGTCCCCTGTGACAATCCAATCTTTAGAGACTGAACTAAATCCAAATCAGTCAACAGTTTGTGGTTATTATTTTTTTACCTTGGATTGTTTAAGAGCTGACTGAATAACAAAGTTTCCATAAGGATCCAACATCACTTTATCAAGACAACCATAGGTTACGAGTTCCCTGATGATGCGAGCTCTATGTTTGTCATCAGCTAGTCTTAGACACTTCTCAACTACATTGCTGCTAAATTTCTGCATCGATAAGTGTGTGTAGTTCCCATCTAACTGCTCGAGGATCTCGTTGATAGCCCATTGGAGTTGTAACTCAAGAACAAATTGAAGAACATAGTTCCTGCCAAAAAAAGAAAGTTTGCATATTCATTTCTCCATTGGATTCAAAAGAAAGAAAGATCTAAAACATGTAGTATACCCAAAAGGGTCTTGAGAGAGGAGTAGAGCGTTAGAGGTAATCCCAGAGACTAAGTGATCCTTTTGTTCTCCTTTAGAATAGCCAATACATTTTTGAAGCACACAACATCCATGTCGATCAGTTGCAAGCTCAACACAGTGAGTAATCACTATCTCAAAAAGAAACTGATGACACAGAAAAAAAAAACTATATCATATTCTTTCAACAGTTTCAAATATTATTTAAAGAAAAAAGAGTGAAGAAAAGTTGTGTTACCTTCTCGCAGTGAGGTAACAAATACTGCAAGCATCGTTGAACAACGTGGTTACCGTTTACACTCTTTATCAAAGTCACAATGCCATGTCTCAAAGCAGACATGATCATTAAAACCTCTTCTTGTCTCTTAACTGTTTCAACAATCTTTTGAACAACTCTAGTCCTGTTATAACAAGACCACGTTAGGTAAATAACAGAAAAAAAAACACATTACATATTAAAATCTACAGTTTTGTTTTTACCCATGCATGTCACAAGAGATTTTGATAAGCACTCCTGGTTTTCTAGTAATGGAATGAACAATCTGCATTCTCTGTTCTTGGCTGCATACTTCAATAAGTTTCTGTACTAGATAGTTACCAAAAGGGTCTATCATAAGTTCAGTTATATAGTCAATGATCTCGTTAAAGATCATTTCTATATCATTCACATCTCTCTCGGCGAACTTCCTCTGAAGGAAGCGACATCCATGCTGAGTTCTCGCCATGTAATATATCTTCCCTTTTGTCTCTGCAAGAGAGTTATACTTTGGAGGTTGCAATGTCAAGTTGTTGAGGCTCATTACAAGATCTTCATTGAACCAAAGTGATCTTCCGGTTTGTGTATCATCTCCAACACCGTAGTTTATGACTTTGGCTGTGTTTAAACCGAGTGGTGATCTCATTAGAATCTTCTCTGGATAGTACATTCTCTTCCTTATCACCCCATTCAAACACCTCAGGCTTTCATCACCATCTTCTCCATACTGTTCATGAGCTCGGTGATAGTCGAAATGTTCTTGTCTTGGAGAAGTGTACATGCCTGTGAACTGTCTTTGATACTGATCAAACACAGGCATGTACTGTTCTTCTTGGAGATTCACCCTCCCTTCTGCAATATTCCTCCAGTTGAAATGAGACTGATGGTGAGACTGGGAGGATGGCATGTAATGCTGCCTCTGAGGAAAGTAACCAACATGTTGCAGCTTCCTAAACATTTGTTGATCGAGGTTTCTTGAATCATATGCACAAGGTGAGCTACTTAGAGAGTGGTTAGAAGGTATGAACAACACTTGGTGATCTTCCAGAGTTTGATTAGGGGTTCCAAAGTTTAAGTTTCCTTCAGCAGAAAATGCATCAGAGGTAAATGTGCTGTCGTCACCGGTAAGATGAAGATTTTGTTCTAGGAAGGGAGAAGATTTCTTGATGGATGGTGATGATCTGCTTGAGCTGAAACATATAGGGAAAGGGCTATAGTCGTTTCCTGAAGTCACTTGCGGAATTTCTCCAAGAAGCTTCTCAAACTCATCAAACTCTTGCTCATTTCTTCTATGATCCATCCTCTAGATGGCTGATTTATACACTCAAACACAGAGAAGCTCCAAAGTTTCAAGTCCAAGTTGTGATGATCAAAGAACAATACTCCTTAGACAGCTGCAATAAAACAAGAACACTTTACAGCTTAAAATAAACACCAAATGTAAAACAAGAACACTTTACAGCGTAAAATAAACACCAAAGAAACTATGTAAAAGTTTGATGAGGAGATACAGACAAAACATCAAGAAGACTTTGTAAACTATTATAAAATAGCAGCTTGTAAGTACATCAAAAAGCAGAACATTGGAATACAAAAATAAATCCATCACTAATCACAAACAAAACATTCATGTTTTCATTACTTTTTTAGTATATCTTAAAATATAATTTCAGTGTCACTCGAAAAATAAAAAAAATACAATCACTCAAAAACAGAATTAACATGAACCATGAGTCCTTAAAACAAAGCAAAAAGAAACAAATTGATCATCAGATTTGATCAAAGTCTAGAAACTGTAGGACCAAACTCAGAGGGGAAGAATCTGAAACGATCATAGTACACAAGTCTTAGAAAAGAGATCAATTTTTAGACAGGAGCTGAGAAATATACGATGATCAAAAACTAATAAAGGGTTGAAAAGAAAAGAAAAAAAAGATCTGATCATTTTTGTCTTCCGATCAAATCTCTCCATGTTTTAGACAAAACTCACTTGTGGAATAAAAAAATCTCAGTGAAGACAATGTGAGAGAGAGAGATTGTTGTTTACCAGTGAGGTTGAAGAAGCAAATAATAAAATTATCAATCAGAAAAAGGTGATGAAGGGAGATAAAAATCTTACACACGCAAAGAAAGAAAAGGAAACAAAAGAAAGATTAAAAACCCACAGAATAAAAAGAAAACAATTTTTTTCTGAAAGAGGAAACAAAAAAGAAGAAGAAGAGAGAATGATGAAAACAACTGAGAGGAAAAAAAATGCAAAGAGAATGCAAGAGAGAGGTAGAGAGGGTGTGTTTATATTTGGTAGGCGGCGTGAAGAAGAAGGAGAAATATAGAGAGAGAGACTTGAGTACAAAAAAAATGTAGCATTTTATAACAAAGTTAAAGTACAAAAAAAGACAAATAAACTGTTGGAAAAAAAACAGATCTTTATGATTTATTTTGTAAGAATAAATGAAAATTTTAAGGATTCAAAATGAAATAAATGGGAAGGAAATAGACAAAATAATTAAATTAAATGGGGAGAAAATAGAGGGGAGGATGATGAAAAGTAAGTAAGTAAAAAAGAAGACATAAATTGGCTTTTTTATTTGTAAATCAGATCTTTTGATCTTTTTAATCATAAATTAAATAAAATTGAATGGGAAGAAAATAGACAAAACAAGTAGGGAGGGAAGATGGTGGGATGTGTAAGTAATAAAAAATAGGAGTGCATGAAAATGGAAAAGGCTTTTATGATATTTGGGTCACAACTGATACTGAGTCTTTCTCTTACTACTTTTGGTTCGTTTCTGTTCCTTTTTTCTTTCGCTTTCTTTATAGCTCTGCTTCTTCTTCTTCTCTATATATATACACACATACACACGTCTATATTGTACACATTTATACACGTGTTATAACGTATATTTCTACACTCTTAAAAAACAGACTCTTTGTACACACAGATTTAACTATATGTTTTCCTGTTGTGTTTTCTAGAATTTTAAATGAATATTTGTAGTCTTTATGTTTCTTTGCACAAAAGAAATTTGAATGTGACGCTAAGCAAAGATTCATCCATTTTCTTTTCTATGATGAATTATGTGATCTATAGTAGTTGCTGAAGAGATCATGTTTTAGTACAACTCTTGGTTTTCTAGGCTAAAATAAATTATTATTGGATTTTCTAGCTATAAATGATAACAAATGGTTCCCCAAGGATCAATTCTTTTATTTCTTATAATAGAAATAATACTTAGTTAGCATTTGCAAATTATTTGGCTGGTAAGTGTATTATTTATAGAGCTTATTTGCCAACTATCAAAAAAAAAGATTTGTAGAAAGAAGTTAGAGAGAGATAACTAGAAAAAGTAGGAGAGAGGGTGTATTTTTAGATAGATAGTGAATTTAGGTTTTTTGTTTGGTTATTAGAACAATTTTCCCTTATTTATGTATGTTATTCAAGAAAATGGTTTATATAATTAGTTGAAATTTTGCTAATTGTTTTGTAAACTCGACTTCTACTAAGTATTTATCCGTATCCCCTTCCCGCTTTGTATTGCCACAATTCAAACTATCTAGTCATGATCAGTTCTGAATGTCTCGGTATCATAACAGAGTGTTGAGCACTACAAAACCAGAAGTTTCTAGGAAGATACGAAACTGTTGTTTTTACCTTAAAATCCATTGTCAACTTGGAGCTGTCTTTACCTGCAGTGTTTCACTCTTTTGAGTAACATGAGTAGATGAATTTTGTAAGTCTGACAAACAAGAAAATCATAAACATCCCAATAAGATATATACATTGAATTTTGTTTTGTAAATTGGTTGAGAAAGTAGTAACACAGGTTTCTACTATCCTAGAGAAAATACTCTTACAATTAACAATACGATCATGGGTAAATACGAACTAACATATTCTTTAAAGCAAGTAATTAGATAGTCTTTAGTATTAATTAAAAAATAATCAAACACCATTTAGCATTATAAATATTACTTTTTGTGTTTACACTGAGAGTTAAGTGTTTAGTTTTTAGACCGACCATCGTAAGCTTTATTTAACAACCGTCTCATTTATTTTGCTAGTTTGTGTTTTCATAGTGAAAGTTTTACTCGATAGAGTATAGAGTGGTTGTTTCTTCCACCCGCAAAACTTTGTTCTATAGAATAATAACACATTTTTATTCATGATTAGATCATATTAACATTAAAATTTTGCAAGACCCCCCAAATAAAGGTTGTGTAGGAGAAGGATATAAATCACAGTGGGGACCCACTTGCAACACTTTTAAAGTCAGATTGACTTTGAAAATACTCATAAAGGTGTAAGAAAATTTTCTCATTAATAAATTCCTGTTGCTGGATTAAATAATAAACCAAAATAGCATAAAGAAGTTTCATGGAAAGAAGAAAACCAAGTCGTTCTCTTTTCTTTGAACTTGCTATCAACTTTCAAATTCTAAAATTATGATGTCATCTAAACTATTAAGACTGAAGTACAAATAGGAATTAACCTTAAAAGTTGCACAAATATTACATATCTATGCCATTGTTATTCAAAACTGTCCTTTTATTTATTTTTGAAAATTTGTTACCCATCCAATATTATTTTGGGCTTACCAATTGTTAATGGCCCATCCAACATTAAATTTATAGAAAACCAATAACGAAATGTTTCAATATTTGCTAACCCATTGCAAACCATTCAATTATATTCTTCATATCTAAACGTATTTACACCATTTTATTTACGTTTTCTATTACATAAGCATGATATAAACAAAAAATAATATTCTTTACGACTATGCATACCAACATTTAGTATATTAATTTTATAAAGGTATGTTTTATGGTTTAGATTTTCATTAGCAAAGTCAAATATTTATTATTTTTATCAATTTGTTATATTTTTTATGTATAATATCTATATTATTAAAACTGAACTACATTTGAGAGATGTTTGGAAACATGAATAGCATTTAATCCAAAAAATATAATGTTGATTGACAATATGAATGGCAGTATATTAAAAAACTAGGTTTAATTATTAAAAAAATGAAAGTCCTATAATAAACTATCTATTTGGGCCAACTTTACAATATATGAAAATAAACAAATCTAATTACGTAAAAACATATTTTGTTTAAAATAATTATAATACAAAATTTAAACTTTATATACATATTTCAAATCAAAAGAATAATTTAAAATTAATTTATATCAAAATTTGATTCTATAATATACATATATTCAAAAATTGATTTTTACTAAAATATTTTCCCATGGCGATTATAATTTTTTTTCAATATATATAAGAAAATATAATGCAAAGGCCAATTCCAAATACCAATTTATATTCTGGTTTTTATATTTCACATTAAAAATTTAAAATATAATATATGTGATTATTTATATCAAACTTGTGAATTTGATTATTTACACATGGGTTCCGCCCTGTTTGACCCACTGCAGGACAGGTAAGGATCAACAGATTTGAAAAATATATGAGGCGGGTGCGGATTTAATATATTTTATGCGAGCGGATGTGGATCGGTTGAATTTAAACTGCGGGTATCCGCCCACCCGCAAAATATTTTTTTTTAAAAAGACTTTTTACATGATTTTATTTTCAAAATAATTAAAAATTACGAATATAAAAAGATAATTAAAATAGATTATTTTAGTTTTAAAATAATAGTTATTTTTAATGTTAACCGTAGATTTTTTGGGTTATCCATAAATTTAAATGAGGTGGATGCAAGTATAATTTTTTCTACTTGTAGGTTAAATGGATCAAAGTTTTGAATAAAAAAATGATTCAACACGCAGCAGAATGGATCAATTTGTAAATTCAACACTAATTTATATGATGGTACATATAAAATACTATTAATTATATGATTACTATATGTTAATACATATAAAATATGACTATATGATGACATATATATGATATATAATAACAATATAAGAAAAATAACAATATATTTTCGAAAAACTACACCCGTGCAGACGCACGGGTCAAAATCTAGTAGCATATTATGAACAAACACCAAAACTGTAGGTCATGTAATATTTGAGTCGCATCAACTTTTCATGTATGGTATGATTAACTTTGAAATTACTTCTAAAGTTGTCTTCTCATCAATAATACTCTTCTCCTCAGGTTGTTATCAAATATCAACTGTAGAGAACTGATTGTGAACAAACCCAAAAAAAAAGATAACTAAAAGATATGAATCACAAATGGAAACTACTCGAGATTGTCGATTTTGAAATTGCAGTTGTTAACATCTGATAAAAAACGTTACAGATTTAGTAAAA